AGGAGGTGGCTAGTGTAGGCCTGGGGAACAGTGTTAGCATCACAGTGTCACCTATGGGCCACACTCCAGCCTGTCTCTCTCCTGCTGGTTCCTCCTCTTGGACTAGACTGGAGGTTCCCAGAGAATGGGGCAGGGAATTCGGCCGGGACTGGGAACCAAGCCTTATCTCCAAGAACCTGGACTCAGGGCTAGCTCTAGAGAAGAATGAGGTGGATTCAGGGCCTGGCTGAGGATATCTGAAGGCTCAGTTCACTTGGAAGAAAAGAAAAGGGAGGAGGAAAAGCACAGAAGACAGAAGAGAGATCCAGAAAAAGAGGCTCCAGAGAAGGGCAGGATGGAGAAAGAAGAGGAATCCTGCAGCAGAGAAAGAGAAGGGAAGTCTGGAAGTAAAGAGAGAAGGGAGTGTGGAGGGGAAATAGCGGAAGGAAAGAAAATAGAGGAGGACGAGGGGAGGGAGGAGGAGGTACCATCTCGTTTTGACAACAAAACTCCTCTGAGGAGTTGTCTGCACTCTGACCCATTTCCTCGCCTCTCACTCACTCTGGAGCCCACTCCACTCTGCCTTCCTTGTAGCCACCCTGCCGATACAGCTCAAGCTTGGGACACCAATCACCACCACGTTGCTGGTCCCTGAACATGTTACTCCTTATCACACAGGTCCTCTCGACCGGATGTAACTCTCCTTCCTTCTCGAGCAGTCTCTTTCCAGCATTCATGACACCTCCACTCCTCCCCTCCTTGTCCTCCTACTTCTCTGGCCACTCTTTCCAGCCTCTGTGCAGGATCCTCCTCCATTACCAAAATAATAATAATAATAATAATAACAACAACACGCACCCAGTTACTGTTCAGTAGACTCCCACTCCTGGTGACTCCCTGTGTGGGGAGCAGAATTGTGTTCCACAGGGTTTTCAAGGCTGTGGACTTTTGGAAGCGCCTTTTGGAAGATTTTATTCTGAGGCACCTCTGGATGGATTTGAACCACCAACGTTTGGTTAGTAGATGAACACTTAACCATTTGCACTATCCAAGAACATCACCTCCTCTTACTCCAAACAAAAACTAAACCCATGGCTGTTGAGTAGGTTTTCACTCATAGTGACCCATGAACTGCCTCATATGGTTTTCAAGGCTGTAGCCTTTAAGGAAGCAGACTGCCTCATCTTTCTCCCAAGGAGTGGCTGATAGGCTCTAACTGCTGACCTTTGGGTTAGCAGCCAAGCACTTAACCACTATGCCACCAGGGCTACTACCTCCTCCTCTATTCAACCCTTAAATGCTGAGGATCTTCAAGGTGCAGTCCTAGCCCCTCATCTCTCCTTGTTCCCTGCTTTCTCAATGCCCACAGCTTCAGTTACTATTGTCCTGGGAATCCAATGTGTCTCTCTTCTCAACTCCATACCCAAACACCAGAGGCCTTCCATTTCTAGTTAGGTGGCTCACAGGTACCTGACACTCAACATGGACAAAAGTTAATTCATCATCTTCTCCCAATCCTGAAAAGGAAGACTGGAGAGAGGGAGGAATATCTCAGAGACTGAAGGACTTGGGGGAGGCTGAGGCATAGATTCTGAGGAGCCCTTGGACACAGAAAAGCAATGTTGAGGAAAGAGAAGGAGAGGGGGCCCCACACACCTGGAGTCTGTCCCCACACTCTGCCCCAGGATCCCTCCAGAGGGCACCATGCAGGTCTCCATGATGGGGACAAGAACTTCATGTTGGTGGTCTTCATCTTAGACTCACTTCTCTGTTCTCTTCTCAACCTCTCTCCGGGGAGTCTGCTCTCCTTTCGTTAGCATCACCCAGAAGTAAAAGGTGGGAAGAAAGGAGCGTTCTGGGGAGCTAGAGCAGAGGGGAAGGCAGCAGAACCCCAACAGGAATGAAGGGAGCCAGGCCAACCGACCTGGACGTGTGGGAGAAGCATGTCCTACCCACTCACCCACCAGCTGTACTAACACCTGAAGCCACCTCGTCGGACGTGCTCTTCTCCTTGGTCCCACATCATGGAGCCCAGACTGGGGGCCTGAGGGGCTTGGAGCAGGGGAGATAGGGAACACAGGCCCGCCACCTCCTTCTGGGGGCACATGGGGGAAATTTGGAGAGGGCGAGAACTCAGAGCTCAGCACTTTCCTCTTTCTGTTTTTCTTCTTGAAGACTTTTTTTTTCCCTCAGTGCTGATGACTTTACCATTTCTTGGGTGTAGGGGTGTGAGGGGGAGGAGGTTTGGGCTTTGCTCCCCCCACTCCAAGTGCCGACAAGGTCGTCTTACATTCCACAAGGAGCCAGAGCTTCAGAGCTTCCTAGAGATGAGGTGGCGTCTCCTCCCCTCTCAAGCCCCAGTTCCCCCGCCCCCTCCCCTCCTGTCTCCAGCCCTCAGTCCTGGCCCAGGAGGCCCAGCCAGGCTGGGAGGAGACCCCAAGCACATTCTTCCTCTCACTGTCATGCTGCAGAAATTAAAGACACATCTTTGGGCTGGGCACCCGCCAAGCATTTCAAGTTAAAAAGTGGCAGAAGAGGCTGTAGCCCTCAGCTCTGTGCCACGTGTGAAGGGTGCTTGGGAACCATCTGCCCACGGAACCTGGACCAAGGCCTGGAACCAGACATTGAGGTGGTGGCTGTCACACATCACACACATGGAACCCCCCAAACCTAGGAGCCCCTGAACACCTCTCAGAAGCCCAGGCTCATGGCATAGTTAGCCCCAATCTTTACCTCTAAGGCTTAATCTTCTTGAAAGTGGGTACGGGAAAACCCCAGATAGGACACATGTGGACAGGGGACTGCAGGCAGGAGCCCTTCCAGCAAACACACCCAGCAAGCAAGGTCCCACCAGCCTCTACACCAAACCCTCACTGGACAGCCACCCCAATGCCTGTTCCCTCTGAGGGACAGGACCCTTGTTCCCTGGTGGGGAGGGGGAGCCCCTTGGAGCTGACCCACAGTGGAGGGTAAGACTTCGGGTGGGTCCAGGAACTGCCATCTCAGCACCTCAGCCCCCCAGTCCTGCTCTACCATCACTGGAACTAGATGGGGGCAGATCCTGGGCTACAAGTTACTGCCACATGGTCATGATAATTGTGAAGGCCCATCCCCCCCATCACTGTCTCCAGCCCAGCCTCTTTGGAAACTCTATATTTTCCCTTTAATTATAGCCCCTGCAGTCTCCCTCCGCTGCCCCACCCGCCCCACTCATCCTGGCTGCCCACGGCCGACGTGGCTCCCTCCCCTTCTGTTCCCTGGGTCGTTTTTTTCTTTTTTTCCCTTTGCCTTCGTTGCACAAAACCAGCTGGGGGAGGGTGTGGAGAGGGGCGGTGGGGGGGGGAGGCAATGGAATCTTGGATGGTTTAGGGGAGGCGGGACTCCCCTCTTCCACGTTTGCAGCTCTGGAATGACCTGGGGGTGGGGGAGTCACGTGGGAGGAAGAGGAGCTGATGGGGCACTGCCGAGGGACCCCACTGCCTCTGCTGGGGCCACAGATTTTGGCAGGATGAAGGGCCTGGATAGACTGAGGGTGAGGCTGGAGCACCGCTGGGAGATTAGGACACGGGAGAAGGGAGGACATTGGCTTCTGGAGGCATCTCCCCTAAATATCACCTCTTAGATCCACTCTCATTCCCAAAGCACGTTGTTGGTCTTGGGGTCCGCATCCTTTTCGGGATACAGTGATTACTTCCTGATTCCAGAGGCAGAGAGCAACAGCCTGGATTTTCAGGAAAAAGGTGGGACAATGAGAACTGTCCCCTAAAAAAGGTTACTTATCCTCCTCCGCTGCAATTCCACCCCAAACTCCCAAGTTCTCCCACATGTTCTCAGCCCTGAGTCCAGGGACAACCAAAGAAGTGGCTTTATGCAGCTTCCACAAAGGACCCCCTCTGATTACTCGTCCTCTCAATTTCTCTCTGGTTTGACTGTGCTGACTGGGAGGGTCTCTAATCAGCCCCTGACCACAAAGCTCTAACACTAGATCTCTTTCTAAGGCACCCTTATAAATGGACAGCACAACCCCCCAAATGCAGTCCTCAACTCAAGTGGAGAAGCCCCAACACCCCCATCCGTGCCCCATCACTCAATACTGAAGCTTCCTTGTGAAAGGACTACGTTGTCAAATTTCCCACCCAGCGTCTCAGCCTCCCCACACATCTCAATCATGCCAGGGCTTCAGGGAGGACACTGAAGCCATGTGGGGACCCAGGGCATGGCAGAATGGCCATCCCCAAAATACAAAACTCTTGCCAGCCACCCCCCTCCCCAGTACCTGATTCATAGTGTCTATAAAGGACTCTCTAATCTATGCCCCAAGTTTCCTGTGACATCAAAAGACACCTCCAAATAGGGACATCTTTTGAGATCCCTTGTCCTGTTTTGAGGAGGTCTCCATCTGGCCTCTCCATCTACCCAGCCCTAGCTCTTCCCAAGCATGTTTCCCATCTGTGTCAGAAGGGTGACTGAGGTCTGGCCAACAGGACCCCTCTCCATTATCCCACGCTCCCACCTTTGGGGCTCCCCACCCAGCTCTTCAACTCCTCTCCTCCAGATTGAGGTTCCATGGAGAAAGCCCAAGGGGGTCCCCAGCCCACTCCTTAGCCCACAGCTTGCTGAGGACCCAGTCGCACCCCCGGCAGCAGCATCTCTGGCCCAGGCCGGGCTGGGGGGGCTGGGGAAGCAGAGCTGCGAAGGGGGGAGATGTGGGGGTGGACTCCTTTCCCTTCTCTTCCCTCTTCCCCCCCTTTCTCTTCCAGCTCCCAAATTGGGGGCCGGGCCAGGCGTTGCTGATTGGCTGGGGGGCGGGCAGCCGGCTCCCCCTCTCAGAGGGGCAGGGTTCCTCCCTGCTCTCCATGGGGAGGGTATAAAAAGGGTCCGGGGCCGGGCGTCGGAGCAGACGCAGACCGGAGCTTCTCCTCAGGGTCGGAGCAGGAGGCACGCGGAGTGTGAGGCCACGCATGAGCGGACGCTAACCCCCCACCCCAGCCACAAAGAGTCTACATGTCTAGGGTCTAGACATGTTCAGCTTTGTGGACCTCCGGCTCCTGCTCCTCTTAGCGGCCACCGCCCTCCTGACTCACGGCCAAGAGGAGGAGGAACAAGACAAAGACAGTAAGTCCCAAACTTTTGGGAGTCCAGGGCTACTTGCTATCGCACCCTGCGCTAGGCTCCGGGAGTTCGCGGCTTCAACTGAGGCTCGGGATGCTCCGGAGACTCAGGGGTGGGAGGGAGACCGGGAAGGAGCCGTCCCCGGCTCCCCAGGAGAGAAGAGAGTTTACTTTGGGGTCAGAGTGGGGCTGATGGCCCCCTAGGAATAGGAGATGAGGATGAAGCGCGGCGTGAGTTAGCGCAGGAGGCCGTCCGAGCGCACACCGCGCAGCGCAACGCGTAAAGTGAGGATCTGGGCACTGGGTGGGCGGAAGGCACGTCGAAAATGGGGTGGGGGCGCCGCACTGCGATTTGGAGCCCAAGATGTAAAAGCAATCTGGAAGGCTGTAGGATGATTCATATGGAAAGATTGTTTGCCCTCGCTGCAGGCTAGACAGTGTTCCTGGGGCCGCGGGGGTGCTGGGGCGCGGGGGGAGGGGGCGCGGAGAGTGGGCGGGTTGGACCGGGAGAAACTTTGGCGTGGACTTGGCAGGGCAGGTTCTTGCACCCCCTGCTGATTAGTATTGAGCACTGCGCCTTCGTGTCCTGAGCTTCCAGGCAGAGGGGTTGGAGTGGGAAGACCCTGGCTATTGCCTGGCGTGGACTCCATTTCTTGACCTAGAGAATAAAGTAGGGGATGGCGTAGCTCCCGTCTCCAAAAGAAGTGGCTAGAGCCAGAACCAAACCCATTGCGGTCTAGTGGATTTCCACTCCAAATTATAGGACACAGTAGAACTGCCCCAGAGTTTATCCAAGGCTGTGAATCTTTATGGAAGCAGATTGCCTCATATTTCTCGCGTTAAGCGGCTGGTAGGTTCGAACTGCTGACCTTTCTGCTCACCTTTCGGTTATCAACCGAGCGCTTAACCACTGCATCACCAGGTTTATTAAATTACTGGCTAGTCCCAGGAAATTGGCACCTTATCATCCCCATTGCTTAGCGTTGCGCGCCACCTCGTGGCCATTTGGGTAGATGCTCACGCGGTGGGCTTGGTTAACTATTGGCCGACTTTTGGGTTCTTTGGCGGAGGAGTGACTCAGAGGGACTGGCTGGCTTTGGGAGACCGAGGTTGGCTCTAGAGCGGGCTTTTGAGCTGTCTGGAGGTCAGGGTATATCCTACTTGGAGTACATCTTCATGTCTCGGGACGGATGCCACTTCAGTCAGCCTCGCCCATCCTTCTAACCCCGCCCACGCCATCCCACCTGCCCAGGGATGGGGGGGCAGGCCTCTTATCTCAGCTCCCACCCACCCCCTTTCTGTCTCCACCCAAACCACGCCCCACTAGCCTGCCTTCTCTGTGGGGCCCCTCCGTTCTCCACCCCCATCCCCAGTGACTTTTTATTTCCCTTGGCTTCAGCGCCAATGAGCTGAGGTTGGAATTGGAAGGCCTAAGTTTGTTTAAATTCCTAAGAACTGGTAAGAGTTATAGCCGCCCTGGCCTGGCGCCTTGGCTCTGTCATTTGTGTTGATAAGGAGCAGATGAGCTTTTAAGGATTTGGGAAAAGGGAAAAAAAAAAAAAAAAATCAAGAGGAGGCGGCGGGAAGTGGAAAATCTAAGTGTGTCTCTTGGGCAGAGTGGAGGGGCAGGAAGGGTTGGATTGGGACCTCTGGAGGCCCCGAAGTGGGGGGCTTGGGCGCCGCTGACAGTCCTGCCTTCTCGCCTGCACCAGTCCCATCAGTCGCCTGCATACAGAACGGCCTCAGGTACTATGAACGAGACGTGTGGAAACCCGAGCCCTGCCGGATCTGTGTCTGCGACAACGGCAACGTGTTGTGCGATGATGTGATCTGCCAAGAAATCAAGGACTGCCCAGGGGCCATTGTCCCGTTCGGCGAATGCTGCCCTGTCTGCCCCACAGGCGAGGGTACAGCTTGGGCCCTGGGACTAGTGGAAGGGGGCCTTGCCCTCGCTCCCTGGTGGCTTCTGCCCCCGGGAGCACTAGTGGCTAAGCCTGCCTCTAACCCGCCTCTTTCTCCCCTTAGGGTCACCCATCAACCAAGAAACCACAGGAGTCGAGGTAATCCTTTGCCCTCGACTTGCCATCTCGCCCGTGGCTCCTCATTGCTGTGTTCCTTCTCTAACGCGGCTTCTTTTGTTTCTTCTCCCCCAACGCTCTAGGGACCCAAAGGAGACACTGGCCCCCGGGGCCCTAGGGTAAGCGTTGCAGGCTCTTGGCTGTTGTGGGCTGGAGATGGGCGTGGCTCCCGGCGGGCTCTCACTCTGGCTCCGCCCTCTCTGCTTGCAGGGACCTGTAGGCTCCCCTGGCCGAGATGGCATCCCTGGACAGCCTGGACTTCCCGGACCCCCTGGACCCCCTGGACCTCCTGGACCCCCTGGGCTTGGAGGAGTAAGTGGACAGTGGAGACACCCACCCATGAAATATTTCTCCCCTTGCTGATGACATAATTTCTTTATATTTTGAAATAATTTCAAGTGTATAGAAAAGTTGCAAGAATAGTTCAGAGAGCTCTCATATTCCCATATACAAGCCACATTTTGCTGTGTTTGCTTTATCAGTCTCTCATGTATATATTATTACCATGTTTCTTTTCTGAGCCATTTGAGACTAGGTTGCTGGTATCAGGCCCCTTTGCTCCTAACTACTTCAGTAATATTTCCTAAGCACGGGGACATTCATTTGCATCTTAATTATCATAGCTTACACTTAAGAGATTTAACGCTGATACAGCACCATTATCTGTTATACAGTCCATATTCCAATTTCACCATTGTCTCAATAGTGTCCTTTGTAGCAATTTCTTTTCCTAGTCCAGGAACCAGTCCAGGATAATGAATTGGATTGTCATCTTTCTTAGTTCCCATTCAGGCAGGAACATTCTTCAGCCTTCCTTTGTCTTTCACAACACTGACATTTTTTGAAGAGTTCAGGCCCATTGTTTTGTAGACTGTCCCTCCTTTGGGGTTTGTCAGATGTGCCCTTATGTGAATAGTTAGATTCAGGTGATATGTTTTTGCCAGGAATATCTCACAAGTGATATTGTGTCCTTCTTAGTGCCCACATTGGGAGACACAGGATGTGAGCTTGTTCAGTTATTGGTGACATCTTCTGCCTTTCAACTCACTCATGTACACATTCTCTTTCTCTCTCTTGTTTTTTCTAGAACTTTGCTCCCCAAATGTCTTATGGCTACGATGAGAAGTCAGCTGGAATTTCCGTGCCTGGCCCCATGGTGAGCCACCAGGGTGGCAGGGATAACAGAACGGGGGTGGATGAGGATCCAGAGGGCATGCGCTGGTGTTGGGGGCACATATATCTTGGGAGGTAAAGACTACCCTCGGGACCTCACAGTCCAGAGGAGACACCGGGTAACTGGGTGCTCCCAGCAGGAATCATTGGGAAATAGCATGACTGCCTCCCTGTTGTGTTTCCTAGAGGTGTCACCATGGCCTCCTTTCTTTTCCTTCTGTAGGGTCCCTCTGGTCCTCGTGGTCTCCCTGGCCCACCTGGTGCACCTGTGAGTATTCTAGATGTCTGTTTACAAAAATTGGGGCTTTGGTACTTGGAGAGGAAGGATTGGGATGAACAATAGGGAAGGTGCTTAGAAGTCTCTTGGTGAGGTGGGGAAAGGTTGGCAGAGACTACCCTTCTAACTCCACTCCTCTGTCGTTGTTCTCTAGGGTCCCCAAGGCTTCCAAGGTCCCCCTGGTGAGCCCGGCGAGCCTGGAGCCTCAGTAAGTGCCCCCCAACTTGTACTCGCTATACAGATATATACCCCTCTACAAACACATGGCTTCTGCTATTGAAGGACACCCCCTCACACGCACACACACACACACACACACACACACCTGGAGTCTTCCTCACCTCTTTTTTCCAGTCCCAGCCTTCCCCTTCTTTCATTCTTTTCCTGAGGATTCTGATTTCTCCTCCTATCTCCTCTAGGGTCCCATGGGTCCCCGCGGTCCCCCTGGCCCTCCTGGCAAGAATGGAGATGATGTAAGTAGCCTCAGTGAGAAGATCCCATCTGACTCCCATCACTTCTATAGACTAGCTCCCCCCAATCTCAACCCCAGTGCCACCACCACCTGTGAGGGTGAGACCCAGAGGAAGGAGGACAAGTTCTCCTTGATGCACAGGACTGCCTGGGGCCCTTGAACAGTAATACTCACCCTTCGAGGGCTAGTTTTCCCCGTCTTCCCAACAAAAGTAACTGTTCCTCCCTTGTCCCCAGCCCCCTTAAAAAAAATTCCCAGCCAATTCCCTCAGGGTAAACAACTTCCTGGGACTTCACCATTCCAGACACATGTTTATTTTCCATCTGGTGAGATTAAAATGTGTGTAATAGAAATTCCTTCAAGGGGACTCAATTTCACCAAACCAGGGTTTCACAGTAGATTTAGACTGTGCTCTAGATTCGAGGAGAAGATTCTGGGCCCCTAAGCCTGACCTTCAACCATTCCAAAAAGACTCAGACTTCTGTGTTTTTCCAGCTCAGGAAGTCATAGGCTTAATGGCCTTTTCTTTCCCTCTCAGGGTGAAGCTGGAAAACCTGGTCGTCCTGGTGAACGTGGGCCTCCTGGGCCTCAGGTGAGTAGGCTGGTGTGGCCAAACCCTGGGCTTCACTGCATTTGTCTTCATTGGCGAGCTGGGTCCACAGAAGTGTCTTCTAACAGACCTTCCTTTGTTCTCCTTTTCATTTCTCCCCAGGGTGCTCGGGGATTGCCCGGAACAGCTGGCCTCCCTGGAATGAAGGGACACAGAGTGAGTCCTCTTTGATTCATCTAAACTCCCAAAATCTCAAGCATCCCACCATTCCAACCCCTTTCCCCAAAGGATTCTGGAGTGCAATCATGGGTGGGTGGCAGCTGCAGAAGTCCCAGGAATATACAATAGATAGACAAAAGAACTTTTTTGAGTTGAGTTTTTTTAGTTGAGTTTATACAAAAGAACTTCCGTCCACTGGGAAAGAAGTCTCATTAAAATAGTTGGGTAAGACCAGTTGGGATTTAGTCTAGCTCAAAGATGGGGGGAATAGTTGTCTGCCTGAGGCATCCTCTCAGGTCTACATGGGTGTCAAGACGGGGCACACCTCCCCAGGGTCTCACCTTAGTTCTCTTTCTTTGTCTTAGGGTTTCAGTGGTTTGGATGGTGCCAAGGGAGATGCTGGTCCTGCTGGTCCTAAGGTAAGAGCTTATCTGAGTTTGTGGTCCTCCATATTCTCCCAGTTCCACCAGAAACAAATTCCTCACTCTCAATTTTCTGCTCTTATAGGGTGAGCCTGGTAGTCCTGGTGAAAATGGAGCTCCTGGTCAGATGGTGAGTGCATCTAGCTCTAGAGGAGAGGAAGGGGACAGGTGTTGGGGCAAGATGGAGACTTGGAGGAAGTGGAAGTGTCCCCCATCTCATTTGGCTTTTCTTGCTTTTGTGATCAGGGCCCCCGTGGTCTGCCTGGTGAGAGAGGTCGCCCTGGACCCCCTGGCCCTGCTGTAAGTACTCTTGGCCCCTTGTGGGGGTGGTACCTGGGCCCTGGAAGTAGGTCCCCAGGAGTTTCAGACACTGGCTACTTCTCAGTGGATGTAACCAGAGGTTCTTGTCTCTCCTGTAGGGTGCTCGTGGCAATGATGGTGCTACTGGAGCTGCTGGACCCCCTGTGAGTATGACCTGGGAGTGAGAAAGGGTCTCATCATCAGCTGGGCTGACAGGGGCACGAGGGACGTGTTGTTCTGAACCTCTTGGGTTCCAGGGTGTGATGTGTACCTGCCACCTTCCTTCTTGCTAATGTCTCCATTTCACCCACAGGGTCCCACTGGCCCCGCTGGTCCTCCTGGCTTCCCTGGTGCTGTTGGTGCTAAGGTAAGACCTCCCCCTCCCTCACAACACAGCTCTCACGAGCTGAAGGGTGGTGTCTCCCAGCTCCCCAAATCAGAGGGACCTAATGTGGCGAGAAAGAAGCCCATTGCCCAACACCTTTATCCTGGAATCTCCTCTCTGATCCCATTGGAGTCCTGCTCCTTGGTCTCCCATGCTTGGCCCTTCCCTCCCCTCTTGATTCAGAATTGAGGTTGGACTCCCCAGGGTTGCTCTTGACACATCCTTTCTTCCGATCCAGGGTGAAGCTGGTCCCCAGGGACCCCGAGGCTCTGAAGGTCCCCAGGGTGTGCGTGGTGAACCCGGCCCCCCTGGCCCTGCTGGTGCTGCTGGCCCTGCTGTGAGTGTCCCCCCTCAATGGTTCCCTGTGTCACTCCCCACCCTCAGAGTCCTTGCCTATAACTCATCCTCCTTTCTTTGTGCCACAGGGAAATCCTGGTGCTGACGGACAGCCTGGTGCTAAAGGTGCCAATGTAAGTATCCTGCCCGGCCTCAGTCCTGCCGAGCTGCCCTCCTCCCACCTGCCCCGTGTCTTCCACTCCTGGGTCCTCAACTACCTGTTCTGCCTCCCACAGGGTGCTCCTGGTATTGCTGGTGCTCCTGGCTTCCCTGGTGCCCGAGGCCCCTCTGGACCCCAGGGCCCCAGTGGCGCTCCTGGTCCCAAGGGTAACAGCGTAAGTACTGTCTACTTGCTTCTGCCATAACCCATGCACTGGCTTCAGTGTGGTCCTCTTCTGGGGAGCATGGCAATTCAGGCCACCTGAGCATCCAGCTCTCAGCTCATCCTCTCCTCCCCCTGCAGGGTGAACCCGGTGCTCCTGGCAACAAAGGTGACGCTGGTGCCAAAGGAGAGCCCGTAAGTACCCTGCCAGCCTTCCTGCAGCTCAGCCCATCCTGCCCTGGAAGTCCCTGAGGGAGGTCCGGGGAGCAATGGGATCCCCTAATCTGCTGAGGGAGTCCTCACCCCACTCCCAGGAGTCTCTGGTGCTGGAGACCTGGCCTCACCTCAGGCCACCTTCCTGTCTGCCTCCTCCAGGGCCCTGCTGGTATTCAAGGCCCCCCTGGCCCTGCTGGTGAAGAAGGAAAGCGAGGAGCCCGAGGTGAACCTGGACCCACTGGCCTGCCTGGGCCCCCTGGCGAGCGTGTAAGTACAGCTGGCTTGCCCCCTCCTGCCATCTCTACCTCCATCGCCAGCCTGGTGCCTTGGTGTCTCTGAGCTCACTGGTCTCTCCTTTGCAGGGTGGACCTGGTAGCCGTGGTTTCCCTGGCTCAGATGGTGTTGCTGGTCCCAAGGTAACTTCATCATGGCCGAGAGGCTAATCCAGCCACTCCCTGGGCATTCCCCCCACACACACACACACACCCCAGGAACACACACATACACACAATCATCAGTGCTCCATGCTGGGGCCGAAGTCGGCTCTCTCTTCATACTTGGCCTCACCTTGACCTTTCCATCCCCAACCTACCTCCCAAAGCTCATTAAAGCAGCCCCTACCTGGGGGAGAAAAGCGTGGCCCATAGTAGAAACACCTGGATTTGAGGTCTCAATTGGTTTCTATGTCTCCTCCCTCACAACCAGGGTCCTGTTGGTGAACGTGGTTCTCCTGGCCCTGCCGGTCCTAAAGGTTCTCCTGGTGAAGCTGGTCGTCCCGGTGAAGCTGGTCTGCCTGGTGCCAAGGTGAGGCCCCAGCCCCGCTGCTCAGCTTGGCCAGGACTCTGCCCACCTTATGTGGGGTCCAAGATGGGAGCGGGGGACCACAGAGTCTGCCCTCAGGAATGCTCTTCTCTTTCCCCTCTTTTTCCCCATCCCTTGACCTTGCCCTGCCCTACTTATACCTCTCTGCCTCCCCCTAGGGTCTAACTGGAAGCCCTGGCAGCCCTGGTCCTGATGGCAAAACTGGACCCCCTGTAAGTATCACCTCCCCCTGCACCTGTTTCCACTCTCCCATCCGCCCACTCTCTGGCCTCACCACTGCCTTTGTGTCACCATCTTCAGGGTCCCGCTGGTCAAGATGGTCGCCCCGGACCCCCAGGCCCCCCTGGTGCCCGTGGTCAGGCTGGTGTGATGGGATTCCCTGGACCTAAAGGTGCAGCTGTAAGTATTCGGCGAGGAGACAGGGACAGAGGATGGCCTGGGAGGCAAGAGCACCGGTTCTGGGCCTCAGTTTCCCTATCTGTAAAGTGAGGGACCCTGCTGGCTCTATTGTTACTGCTCTCTCCCTGGACCTAGTATCATTGGTGCCCCCACATATATGGAGATAGGAAGAGCCTTTTAGGATAGTCACCCCTGAATCATGGTGGGGTTCTTGGTGGTATCAAAGGGGATGGAGGCACTCTTCACTGAGGTCACTGCAGACATGAAGGAGGAGGAAGGGGAGAGGGGAGAGGGACAAGGGGCCCAAAAGGGCATTTGGTTTGGGGGAGAAGTTAAAAGTTCTCCCTAAGAAGCCAGCAAAGGCATTTCCCCAGTGCCCAAAACTTGTCAATAGAGCTAGCAAAGCCTTTTGATAGGAAAGTCCCTTAAAAAATTCTACTCAAAGTAAACCAGAGGGATCTGAGAGGCCTTGGTTCCCACTTCAGCCCACTCAACCCTCGCCCCATCTCCCCAGGGAGAGCCCGGCAAAGCTGGAGAGCGTGGTGTTCCCGGACCCCCTGGCGCTGTTGTAAGTATCTCCTTCTGGTCTGTAGCCCCTTCTGCTCGCTCTACACAAGGGGGGTCTGCTTTGCTCCTGAGCACCCACCTGCACCCCTCTTCCTCCAGCCAGTGCGGCCTCACCTCCCTGAGTTCTTCTTTACTGTCTCCCCACAGGGTGCTCCTGGTAAAGATGGAGAAGCTGGAGCTCCAGGAGCTACCGGCCCTGCTGTAAGTGCCCTTGACTGGGTATCCTGGAGGAAGGGGCACTGTGGGACAGGGCAGGGGAGACACGCCCTACCCCTCATCTCTTCAGCCTTCCATTGACCTCAGTCTGCTCTCCTATAATAGGGTCCTGCTGGTGAGAGGGGTGAACAAGGTCCTGCTGGCTCCCCTGGATTCCAGGTGAGGTATCATGGCTGTCAGGGTGAGGGGGGAGATGCCAGGAACGTCTCCTTTGTTCTCTTCCAGACTCTAAATCCTCTCTCTCTCTCTTTTCCCTCTTCTGTCTCCCATATACAGGGTCTCCCTGGCCCTGCTGGTCCTCCCGGTGAATCAGGCAAACCCGGTGAACAGGTAAGAGTAGCAGCTGGCCAGGGGGTGAGAATGCAGAAGATACAGAGGGAGACTGTCCTCCTAGCTAAGCAGATGATCATAAGCTTGAGAGGGAGGTTAGACACCAGGAAGGGCTTCTGTCATGAAGAGAATTGTACAGAGGGAAGCAGAAAACTCTAACTCTGCATGATACAGTCTAGAAGGAGCTTAGGGGCTGCTAGTAATAAATGACTTCTTATTTATTTTTTGGTGACTTCTTTTTAGAGCTTCTAGAATTCTCTCTGTGACTTCTCAAACCTTATGATTATAACTCTTGGCCCAAAGTTTGCAGGGAGGGAGAGTATCTTTGATACATCCCAAGGAAAAGTAGAGGGACTCAGTGCTGAGAAGGGGCTCATCCCTAATGGACCCCAAGGGCCAGCACCAAGTAGGGGGGACAGGAGTTCTTTCTAGTGGGGATCCCAACAGGCTTTGCTCACATCTGTTCCTCTCACCCTCAGGGTATTCCTGGAGACATTGGTGCCCCTGGCCCCTCTGGAGCAAGAGTAAGTAGAGCCTGCCTCTCTGCTCCCCACCAAGATGTCCTGTGCTTGACCTTGTGTCTGGAGCAGCCATCATGTGCCCTGCCCTTCCCTTCCAGGGCGAGAGAGGTTTCCCCGGTGAGCGTGGTGTGCAGGGTCCCCCTGGTCCTGCAGGTCCCCGCGGGTCCAACGGTGCTCCTGGCAATGATGGTGCTAAGGTAAGAGTGTCATAAGGAGGGGCTTCATCGGCAGCCCAGGGAACAAGGATGACCGGCTGTGACCAAAGCCATCATATGGGGGAGGGACAGAACTGGGTCAAAGCCTACATGCAGTAACAAGGTCTGGGCCATGAGTCTTCCCTCTTACCTGGAACCTGTCTTTGGCCTCAGAACCAAGCCTGGGAGACATCAAAAGGGGCTTGGGGCTGTGACCCAATCGAAGGACCCCAGACCTCACTTCAGTCTTCTTGATTGTTAACGTAGGGTGATGCTGGTGCTCCTGGAGCCCCCGGTAGCCAAGGTGCCCCTGGCCTTCAGGGAATGCCTGGTGAACGTGGTGCAGCTGGCCTTCCAGGCCCCAAGGGTGACAGAGTAAGTTCAGTCCCTTCTCCCCTGAGCCCTGCATGGCTCCCATCTCTCTGCCTGCCTTGGGCCTCTCAGCCTTTCTCCTTCCCTCTGGCATCTTTCCTCTTCCACTTAAGTTTCCTTCCTTCCCCTCTGGTCTCTTTGCTGATGAATCCTGTCCTTGAGCTCACCTCCTGTGCCCCACCCGACCTTCTCTACTGTCAGAGCATCTCTCACCCTGAGTTAACCATGGTGATGAAAGGAGGGGCCAGCTCCTTCATGGAGGCTGTCTTATCCATTCCCCACATCAGTCAGGAATTTTTAACCCGGTTCCACCTCAATCCCCAGAAAGATATTGAGTCCTCACGTTAGAACAGGTCAGAGCTGGCAAGGGCCTCAGGAGGTCTCAGACATGAGCAGGACACTATAGATAGCCTCCTGGCCCCACACTGGACGTCTCAGAGTTTTTTTCCTATGTCTTTAGGGTGATGCTGGTCCCAAAGGTGCTGATGGTTCTCCTGGAAAAGATGGCCCCCGTGGTCTGACTGGCCCCATTGGTCCCCCTGGCCCTGCTGGTGCCCCTGGTGACAAGGTGAGCTCCTAACACAGCTTTTCCAGCAAACCTTGGCATGGTTCTGAGGGGAAGGCCACTCCTGTTGCCCTGAGCTGGTGGCTAGGAAACTGGAGAGGCCAGGAGGAGGGAGAGATTCTCTTGGGGTCATCTCCAGGAATATTCAGGGTGGGTCACCTGACCCTGAGCCTCTTGTCCTCCTTCTCAGGGTGAATCTGGTCCCAACGGCCCTGCTGGTCCCACTGGAGCCCGTGGTGCCCCTGTAAGTACCGAAGACCCTGGTTGAGGGCCCCATACTCAGGCTCTTCTTTCCCTTCACACTGTACCCCGGCCCTCTTTCTGTCCCTCCTCTGCCCTCACCTCACCTTCCCCATCGTCAGAGCATTTCTCCAATCTGCCTCCTTCTCTTCCAGGGAGACCGTGGTGAGCCTGGTCCCCCCGGCCCTGCTGGCTTCGCTGGCCCCCCTGTGAGTACCAAAACCCCCCTTCATTTCTCATCACCCACAGGGACCTGAGACCTCGAGTGACTGAGAGGAGGACAGAAGCTTTGGCCTGAGTCAGGGGAGAGGGGTTGTTTCTGATTCGAGTATCTCCCTGTCTCTAGTTGCTTCTCCTTCCCCAGCCCCACCAAACCTTTCATGTCCCCATGTCCCTCTCCGTCCACTGACCACACTCTCTCCTCCCGCAGGGTGCTGATGGCCAACCTGGTGCTAAAGGCGAACCTGGTGATGCTGGTGCTAAAGGCGATGCTGGTCCCCCTGGCCCTGCTGGACCCACTGGAGCCCCCGGCCCCATTGTGAGTATCCCACTTCCTATGCCCTGAGCTGCTGGCAGGCCTCAACACAGGACTGGCCCAGCCTTGACATCTTTGTGTTCTCCTGCAGGGTAATGTTGGTGCTCCTGGACCCAAAGGTGCCCGTGGCAGCCCTGGTCCTCCTGTGAGTATCCCTGTTTCTCTACTCAACCTCTTCCCAGACAGCACTGGGAGGTGGGGTGTCAGGGCCAGTAAGTTTGCCTTTCTCCTTCTGACTCCTCCTTTGTTCTGTTCTGCTAGGGTGCTACTGGTTTCCCTGGTGCTGCTGGCCGAGTTGGTCCCCCTGGCCCCTCTGTAAGTATCTGGAGTGGAGATTCACTGCTCTAGGTGATGGGGTAATGGACTGTCAGTAGGGTGGTCCTTCCCCAGCCCCACCAAACCTGCTGAGTGACAATGGTGCTTCAGAACCCATTGAGTCTGACCGCCCCCTTCTCCCCTTCAGGGAAATGCTGGACCCCCTGGTCCTCCTGGCCCTGCTGGCAAAGAAGGCGGCAAAGGTCCCCGTGGTGAGACTGGCCCTGCTGGACGTCCTGGTGAAATTGGTCCCCCTGGTCCCCCTGGGCCCTCTGGCGAGAAAGGATCCCCTGGTGCTGATGGACCTGCAGTAAGTGAGAACTCAGATCTTAGCAGCTCTGGAAATATCCCAGAATGCCTCGCCCCAGAGCTGGGGAGCAAGTCACTGTGTGTGTCTCACTCCTTGTTTGCCTCCCACAGGGTGCCCCCGGTACTCCCGGACCTCAGGGTATCGGAGGACAGCGTGGTGTGGTTGGCCTGCCCGGTCAGAGAGGAGAAAGAGGCTTCCCTGGTCTTCCTGGCCCCTCTGTGAGTACCCCCTGACCTTGGGGGACTGTGAGAACCGTCACAGGACTTAGAGTGCGTAGGCTGGGAGTGGAGGAGCCATGAGGAAGGATTTGGTAGAGATCACCTCGGGAGTTCCAGAGCCCTCCCTCTGGCCTGACTGTCTTCTCTTCTTCCTTAGGGTGAACCTGGCAAACAAGGTCCTTCTGGTCCAAATGGCGAACGTGGTCCCCCTGGTCCCATGGGCCCCCCTGGATTGGCTGGACCCCCTGGTGAATCTGGACGCGAGGTGAGCAGCCTCAGCTCGTGGCCTTCATGTGGCCATTCCAGCCTTTGCCTGAGCCTTCCTCCCCTGGGCCAACTCTCCCATCTCCCCCTTCTCTGCAGGGCTCTCCTGGTGCTGAAGGCTCCCCTGGACGAGATGGTTCTCCTGGCCCCAAGGTGAGACAGCTATGGTCCAGACCCATAGCCCTGCCTGCCCCTCCCCTGGCCACCCTGGCCCCCTCAGCTGAGGCTGACCCGGACCTCATCCTCCCCCTCTCAGGGTGACCGTGGTGAGACTGGCCCTGCCGGACCTCCTGGGGCTCCTGGCGCTCCTGGTGCCCCCGGCCCCGTCGGCCCTGCTGGCAAGAGCGGTGATCGTGGTGAGACTGTAAGTAACCGGTTCCAGATTCCCGCTCCTGGTCAGGGGAGGGACTCTCCAGGCCTGGGGATGGACAGCTGATCTCACCCAGGTTGGGCTTTTGGCCTCCCTGGAAAGGTTGAGCCACAGCTCAGCCCCGGGACTCCCTCTCTCCAAGGCATAGGGTTTATCCCCAGGTGCTTGTCCCAGCTCACATGAAGCCTGGCTGTGGTTTCTAGGGGTCAGGAAAGAGATGGACACAGTGGGGATGGATGTGGGGAAAGGGGTCTGCTGAGGCGGTGGCCCACCCTGTGGCTCCAGCTACGTGGCCCCAGCCTTGGCCTCCCTGACTAGGACCTAATGTTTTTTCCACTCTTCCTAGGGTCCTGCTGGTCCTGCTGGTCCCATCGGCCCTGTTGGTGCCCGTGGCCCCACTGTAAGTGCCCTGCTCTGGCCGCCATGCCCTTAAACTCTTCCCAACGTGGACAGTGCCTCACTCAGTGCTAATGGACCTTCCACCTGACAGCCTATCTAATCTTTTCTAGGGACCCCAAGGCCCCCGTGGTGACAAGGGTGAGACAGGCGAACAGGGAGACAGAGGCATAAAGGGTCACCGTGGCTTCTCCGGTCTCCAGGGTCCCCCTGGTCCTCCTGTGAGTATGCTAGCTGGCTCTCCCAGCCTCCAGCTGCCACTGAATCTTCTCTTGTCCCCTCCCCCATGCTGTGCTATGTGATGCTGGGTGGAGGGGATACTGTCTCGATTTCTTCCTCTGGGTAGTCATTTTGACTCCTCCCTCACTGGGACTGGGGGTCTGAAGATTTGTGGGCATTTCTAAGTAACTTCTGGGAGGGTGAGGAGTGCACAGAGAGAGCTTGTAGGAGGGCACTCAATCTGTGGACATCCTGGGGCTAGATTTCCAGAATCACAAGGTCAGAGGGGAAAGGCCAGGTTACCATTGCTGCCTCTCATCTCCCCAGCCCAACCCCCTGGTTGCTGACCCACTCAGGGCCTGACCTGCTTTTGTATCAATCCTTCAGGGCTCTCCTGGTGAACAAGGTCCCTCTGGAGCTTCTGGTCCTGCTGGTCCCCGTGTAAGTCATGTCTTCCTTCTTTTCTTCCTGGCGCTGAAGCCCAGGCTTACCTAGGGGCCCCTTCTCTGAAACACAGGTGTCCCTCACCTCTCTGAGGTAGGAGTTGGGGAAGGGAAGAAGAGCCCTGGACAAGCAATCTCATCCAGCCCTCAGTATCCCGCCACCCCATTCCTTCCTCCCACAAAACGTTCCCTGGCCCAGCAGTGGGAATGAGTGGTGACATACCTCATGGGGAGAGACATGCTCTATCAGGCCAGGAGCCAGGGCCAGGCAGAGCGGAGTGGGTTGCTTCACAAGAAAAGGGTCTATGTTGTGCCTTCTGGAAGGCTTTCTCTAACTGTCTCCTTCTCTTGCTTCCCCACAGGGTCCCCCTGGCTCTGCTGGTGCTCCTGGGAAAGATGGACTCAATGGTCTCCCAGGCCCCATTGGTCCCCCTGGTCCTCGTGGTCGCACTGGTGATGCTGGCCCTGTTGTACGTAGCCCCTGACTCTGTTTGCCTCATGTCCCTCCAGTCTGAAAGTGCTTGGACCTCAGTAATCCACACTCTTCTCCTCCTCTGTGCAGGGTCCCCCTGGCCCTCCTGGGCCCCCTGGTCCTCCTGGTCCCCCCAGCGGTGGTTTCGACTTCAGCTTCCTGCCCCAGCCACCTCAAGAGAAGTCTCACGATGGCGGCCGATACTACCGGGCTGATGATGCCAATGTGGTCCGGGACCGTGACCTCGAGGTGGACACCACCCTCAAGAGCCTGAGCCAGCAGATCGAGAACATCCGGAGCCCTGAAGGCAGCCGCAAGAACCCTGCCCGCACCTGCCGCGACCTCAAGATGTGTCACTCTGACTGGAAGAGCGGTGAGGGCGTGCTCTCTGTCCCCTTCCTCCCTCCTGCCATCAGGGCTGAGCTCAGGGGGCTACATGCCACTGTCCCCAGTTTCCTATGTGCCCCACTTCCCCTGATTCCATCTCTACCTGCCCCACTGCAGGAGAGTACTGGATTGACCCCAACCAAGGCTGCAACCTGGATGCCATCAAGGTCTTCTGCAACATGGAGACGGGTGAGACCTGCATGTACCCCACTCAGCCCAAGGTGGCCCAGAAGAACTGGTACATCAGCAAGAACCCCAAGGAAAAGAGGCATGTCTGGTACGGCGAGAGCATGACCGACGGATTCCAGGTGTGTGAGCCACTCTCCTGAGATGGGTTAGCTCAGTGCTCAGAGGGGGCATAAGCGAACGTCCTGGGATGGGTTAGAATTCTGCTAATTGTGACACACACGACTGCCTGGGCAGTACGTGTCCTGGGCTCTTGATACTGGCTCAGACGCCAGGTGTCCATGGACAACTATTGCTCCCTGTTGACATGAGAGTTACTTGGGATGCTCCTTGAGGACTCTGGGAGAGGGGGCAGGACTAGAGAGGCTCCTGCACCACGGTCACGCATTCCCTGCTCTCCACCTTCCCATTTGCAGTTCGAATATGGCGGCGAGGGCTCCGACCCCGCCGATGTGGCCATCCAGCTGACCTTCCTGCGCCTGATGTCCACCGAGGCCTCCCAGAACATCACCTACCACTGCAAGAACAGCATAGCCTATATGGACAAGCAGACTGGCAACCTGAAGAAGGCCCTGCTCCTTCAGGGCTCCAACGAGATCGAGATCCGGGCCGAAGGCAACAGCCGCTTCACCTACAGCGTCACCCTGGATGGTTGCACGGTGAGTCCCTGACAGGACCCAGCCTCTCTGGGCTTTAGGGTTTTGGACAGTCCCAAACTCCCCTCACCTTGTCACTAGCATTCGTTAACATCCTTCTCCCATGGTCTCCCCTTCATCCCAGAGTCACACCGGAACCTGGGGCAAGACGATTATCGAGTACAAAACCACCAAGACCTCCCGCCTGCCCATCATCGATGTGGCTCCCTTGGACGTTGGCGCCCCAGACCAGGAATTCGGCATGGATGTTGGCCCTGCCTGCTTCCTGTAAACTCCCTCCACCCCAACCTGGCTCCCTCCCACCCAGCCCACTGCCTTTTGACCCTGGAAACAGACAAACGACCCAAACTGAACCCCCCAAACAGCCAAAAAAAAAAAAAAAAAAAAGGGAGACAATTTCACATGGACTTTGGAAAATATTTTTTTTCCTTTGCATTCATCTCTCAAACTTAGTTTTTATCTTTGACCAACTGAACATGACCAAAAACAAAAAGCGCATTCCACCTTACCAAAAAAGAAAAAAAAGAATAAATAAATAACTTTTTAAAAAAGGAAGCTTGGTCCACTTGCTTGAAGACCCATGAGGGGGTAAGTCCTTTTCTGCCCCTTGGGCTTACGATACCCTAACTCTGCCCTCTCTGCTCCTCTCTCCGTCCCCCCTTGAGGCCTCCCCTCCACTGCTCCCCAAATCTAAGTCCCCCAAAAGACACAGGAAATCATGCATTGTCTGCCCAGCAACCAAAGACAATGCCGAAACATCTAAGCAGCTCCCACACCCCCAGTCCACTCCCTCTCATGCAGCACCCCCAACCCTGGGGGACCTGGAATTCTCAGACTGCCAAAGAAGCTTTGCCATCTGGCCCTTGAAACACACCCCTCTTTGTTTTTGAGGGGGGCATGCCTAGGGAGCCCCTGGCCTCTCACTGGGTTTGGAGGCGAATCAGGCGCCACGGGCAGAAACATCGGATTGGGGCCGAGCTTGTCGGTCCCCTGCAGCAGGGCTGGGTCAGTGATTGTTCTGTTCCTTGTGTAACTGTGTTGCTGAAAGACTACCTCGTTCTTGTCTTTATTGTGTCAACCGGGGCAACTGCGTGGGGGCAAGGACGGAAGGGGCTCCCCGTTTTCTATCAAAGGTGCTACATCTATGTGAGGGGCGGGTGGGGAGGGAATCACTGGTGCTAAAGAAGTTGAGATGCCCCCCCAGGCCAGCAAATGTTCCTTTTTGTTCAAAGTCTTTTCTTATTCTTTGTTTTTTGTGGATGGGGACTCATGTGAATTTTCTAAAGGTGCTATTTAACATGGGGGAGAGAGTGCCGCAGAGCCAGCGCCCGCTCCTGTCCACCCTCTCTTCAGCCTGTCCTCGCCCCGTCCTCTGTCCTTCCCTCTTCTCGGCTTCTGACCTGCAGCTTCGTCCCATCCTCGCCGCCTCGCTCTCTCTCTCTGTTCTGTGTCCTCTTTCCCTCTCGCTGGGTTTCAGAGCACGACTTTCCAAAGCACAAAGCAGTTTTTCCCCCTAGGGGTGGGAGGAAGCAAGAGACTCTGTACCTATTTTGTATGTGTATAATAATTTGAGATGTTTTTAATTATTTTGATTGCTGGAATAAAGCATGTGGAAATGACCCAAACATACCTGCAGTGGCCTCCTAATTTCCTTCCTTGGAGTTGGGGGTGGGGAGGCCCGGGGAAGGGCTTTGTGGGGGGTGGGCTAGCCTTCTTTTTCTTGCCTTTAGCCAGCCCCTCATCCTCCTTTTCTCCAATTCCCTCTCTAGCCCCTCCACCAACCACTTACCTTTCTTATGCCTTAACCCCTTTCCTTCCCTTTTTTTTTATGATTCTCTTGCGACCCTTGCTTTTTTCTGTAATGCCCAGACAACCACACATGGATAGCAGCGTACACACACACACACACACACTTCCTTTCAGGTTACAGGTTGCCCAGACCTCATGCCTGCCACCTGCCTCCCATCAGAGCCATCATCTGTCCTCGCCCTGTCCCCTGCTGTGTGTACCCTGGAGGGCTGTGGGTGGGGAGATGTCTACTGGGTGAAGGAGGAGGGTCTAACCAGGAGTGCCAGGGAGCCTCTCAGCAAATCCTCTCCCCTCCCTGGGCCCGGGTTGGTGTTCTGGGTCAACACAGAGGGTCATATGGCTTCTCCTCCCTCTGCCTCACCTCTGAGCTCCAGCCAACAGAGCAACCAACCCTGCAGCATGAGGGAGGCTGCTGAGCCTGCCTGTGGCTGCATGGACACCAGGAGGAAGAAACGTCCCCTACTCATGTTCCTGGGTACCCAGCAGGCAAGGGGCGGCCCAATCCCTCAGAGAGGGCTTCATGAGAGTCCTGGGAGAGCTACAGTTAAGGCACCTACAGGGTGTGATCAGGAAGGACAGATGCCCCAGCCCTCTGATCATAAACCGAGTCCAACTTTGCTTTCCAAATCCGAAGAGCACCAGAGGTGGTCCAGGGAGGTCATTTCATCCAGCCCCTGACTCCTGCCCATGTCTCATCCTTTACTTTAAAAAAAAAAAAACAGCTTTCTTCCTCTCTCTTGTCCTTCTCCTTCCCTTCCTTTTTCTCCTACCCTCGGCTCACCAGAGAATCTGAGGACTCCAAAGGAAAGGTGACTGGTCAGTGCCCCAATCTCAGAATGGAGACAGCAATGTATGGGCAGTGGGGGGACAGTGGAGAGAACATTGAGAACCTGAAACTTGAAGTGGACCAGATCCCCAAAGACCGAGGCAGGGAGAAAATGACAGCTGTCCTTCACTTTCACTTAAGGCCTGACCTCAAAGGAAGGAAAACTCCCATTCCTCCCTCGAGTCTACAGTGAGATGGACAGGTCTGCAGATGCTACTACCAGGGTTGTCATGAAGGATTCATGGCTATTCATTATGGCCTTTAATAATTCATCATTAGCACTTCCACCAGTCGGGACCGTAGACAAGGAGTTAGTCTAGAGAGGATGAGAAATTATGACATGCAGATGAAAGGTTACTCATATGTAAATCACCCAGAGTTAAGTGGTGCCCACTGACTGGTCATGCCTGACACATTGCTCAGGTAATCTCCATCTACCCAGGACCTCAAGATGCCTGCGATTCTTGGCTCTCTTGGCCTCATCCCTATCTGTTCCCACATGGGATCTGGAAGCATCCTGAACCTGCCCCCCTCTGTCACCTAGACCTGTTCTACCAGCCAAAGAGGATAACCAACATACCCGTATATGCACCCCGTTTTCCCATTTCTAGGACTTTCTTGATGTTGCTTCCTCTCCCTGGAATGATATCCCTCATCTCTACATGCCTAACCCTCCACCCTCCAGACCACGCTCAGATGGTTCATTGTCCCCCAACCCCCTGCCCAACCCTGGCTGAGCTTGCCTCCTTCTGAGTTTCCAAAGGACTTCATGTCTACAAAATCAATCTCAGCTTGAGTCTTGGAGACTGTTGCCATTTTTGCATTGTTGTTTTCACCGTGTTGTTCTCACCAGGTCAAACAGAGTTCACTGAGGAAAAGGCCAGGTCCTGCAATGCACATATTGGTGAGACTAAAGAGAAAGAGCAAAGTGTAAGCTGTGTGGGCCTTTGTGCATAGGTGTGAGCAGTGTAAGAGGAAGAACGAAACAAGCCCAGGCTGAGGGCAAACGGGGCAGAAGACCCTAGGCCAGTGCTTTCCGATAGGCTGTCAGCAAGGATGAAAGGTCTATATCTATGCTGTCCAGGAGAGTAGTCACTAGCCACATGGGGCCATGGAGCATTGGAAATGCGACTAGTAAACCTGAGAAACTCAGTTTTTAATTTTCATAGTGACATTGTGGCTAGTGACTATTGCGTTGAACAGCACACCTCTGTGCAAAGGGATGAGTCTCTCTCTTGCCACATATGTACAAATCTACACAAGAGTGTATGAGTGTGTGTGTGTCTAAGTGTATGTGTGTGCATGTGCATGTGCGTGCACGTACGTGGACACACAAGGTGAGCACCATGTCAGGGCTGTGCTGACGGCAGCCGAGGCTGGGTGGGGCAGGCCTGTATGGCTTTGCCCCGCTGTGCAGCTCCCTGTCAGCATCACGTGGGATGGGGTCTGGTATGTGGTTTGAGTGTGTGTTCAGGACGGGAGAGGAGGGGGACAAAGGGGCCTTTGTACCACATTCCCCCGCTCAAACCCTCCTTTCTGCTGACATCACAGCTGCCCTAAATATAGCTGCCCAAACCCACTCCCCCAGACCCTCGCTGCCCCCTGGGCTGTGGCACCATCCCTGCTACTCGTTCCCAGCACTGCTCTGTGGGACTCATCTTTGTGTTCTCTCTAAAGAGATGGATCATGTTCCCGTGGCTGATTTTGCAATTAAATCCAGGTGGAAACTTCTAGAAAAGGAGGAGTCTTCATATGGATTTTTAATTTTTGCTACTCTACCAGAATCCTGGGTCCCTTTCGTGACCTAAGGCCATCCTAACAGGATTTTTTAGGATTGAAATACTGTGGATTTCCCTCCATTTCTCAGCTTCTTAACCCTTGGCTTTCCAGATGCCTCCAAGACTTGCTTAGATGAAGCTGGGTAAGATTGAGGAAGGGGTGAGGTTAAGACGGGAGGAGGGCTCTGTGTGTGTAACAGGAATGAGCATGAGGCTGCATGCGAAACAATATGCAGCTACTCGGAGAGCAGCACACATGTGAGGACATCTGTGCTATGCATGTGAATGTGTGAGGCTGGATGAGTGAGTGAATGAAGCTGGGTGAGGGTGTGAGGCTAGGTGGAGGTGTGAGGTTGTATGAGTGAGTAAGGCTGGGTGAGGGTGTCTGGGTGAGGGTGTGAGACTGGGTGAGGGTGTGAGGCTAGGTGGAGGTGTGAGGTTGTGTGAGTGAGTAAGGCTGGGTGAGGGTGTCTGGGTGAGTGAGTGAGGCTGGGTGACAGTGTGAGGCTGGGTAAGTGAGGCTGGATGAGGGTGTGAGGCTGTGTGAACACTTGAGGCCGTGTGAGTGAGTGAAGTATGTGAAGCTAGGTGACTGTGTGAGGTTGAGTGAGTGAGGCTGTGTGAATGAGTGAGGTGTGTGAGTGTGTGATGCTGTGTAGAATGAGTGTGTGGTTCTGTGAGCCTGTGTGAGTGAAGCGTATGAGTGTGTGGAGCTGTGTGAGAGAGTGAGGTGACTCCAACCAAATGGCCCCTGTGTGGGGTCCTAGGTGGGTGCTGGCTAGATGAGTGTGTCTCATTCTGTACACTCACTCACCTATGAACAAACATGCAAGGGCCTTACACACATGATCGTGTACATGTGGTGTGGGTGGGGATTGATATATGATAGCTCAGCTTCTCCACATCTATGGTAGCTGATGAGACAGCATGTGAACTGTGAGGCCATGGGGGTCTGGGCATTTGGGATGTGTATGTGCACATGCATGAAAGGGTGCACGGGAGGTCTAGATGAGCAAGTAAGGATGAAGAGGGGCGGAGAGCAGGGAGGAGTGTGGGAAAAATTAGAGGAAGCTTGGTGTGGGAGGGGATTACCGTTTTAAAGTCCCAGGGTGAGTGTGAGCTCCAGTGCAGGCAAGAGGCCGTGTTTGTGATCTCTTGCTCTCTGCTCCAGAAGGTTTCAAAATCAGACTGACAGCATATGGCCAGGCAGGGAGCCAGGACCTTGAAGAAGCAGTCCCCATCCTGGGAAGAAGGATGGACCTTGCCTAGAAGGGTAATTAGACGTGGACATTTCAGCACTTTGTAGAAGATGCTCCAAACAAGACCTGGAGGGAGACGAGTTTAGTGGGGCAGAGGTGGGGTGCTATTGAAAGGGAAGGAACAGAGAGGAGAGGATGAGGCAGAGGAAGATGAGAACCACTGTGGGGACCACAGCACATTTAAAGACAAGGAGGCCATATACCCAAGTTCCAGGTGAGTTCATTGCTGTGTGACCAGCCCCTTCTACTCTCTAAGCCTGACAACCCTGATTTGCACACAGAGGCCTGATGTGAGCAGGTATACTGTAGGAAGCAAGAAAAGGAGGCTGTGTTCTGAATTTGAGTCAAGCTGGGGTAAAAATAAAGTTAACAGCCATGAAACTAGCACTGCCAAATGCAGATAACACATGAGCTAAAAATGTAAGTTTTTATTTTCTAGTAGCCACATTAAAATAAAATTAAAAGAAATGGGTGAAATTAATTTTAACATTACCTTTTATTTAGAGTGCCTGGGTGGCGCAAGGTTAGCATGTTTGACCGTTAACAGAAAGCTTGGAGGTTGGACCCAACCCAGAGGTGCATTGGCGGAAAGGCCTGGTGATCGACTTTTAGAAAATCAGCCACTGAAAAGGTTATGATGCACATTTCTACTCTGACACACAGTGGTCACCATGTGTCGGAAGTAACTCACCAGCAACCAACACCAAGAGCCAAGACTATTATCATTTCACCCATACCCTTACAGCATACCTCTGTTTGGACTAGTCACGTGGCTAGTCCTGGTGTACTGGATGATGCAGCATTAGGCAGCAGATCAGCACCCCAGATAATGCAGACTCTGGCCTCCACCCCAAATTCACTGGGAGAGACTGGACTTTTCACAGGGCATAGTGTTGAAGTGGAGCCCATTTTATCTAGATCTTAGGGAGCATGAAGACCCCGTGGACATTGGCTTTTGTATGATTTAAGGAGTTCTGGTGGCGTAGTGCCTAAGACATTTGACTACTAACCAGAAGGCTGATGGTTCAAACCCACCAGCCACTCGGAAGGAAGATTGGGCAATCTATATCCGTAGGGATACTGCCTCAGCAAACTAAGGAGGGGTCACTACGAATCGGATCCGACTCGACAGCACTGAGTTTTGTTTTTTTGGTTTTTGTATGTAATAATGTCTTTATTACTGGGAGCTACTTATTGGGTTCTCACAGATTCTCACAACACCCTCCAGGCAGTTCTGCTCTTCATCTGACCAGTAGTTGAACTCAGCTGGGTAAGCCAGCTATCGTGCGGCAAGCCATGATTGGACTCTGTTCTGACATCAAATCACAGCACACCAGGTGTGTCAGCCCCAAGGGAGTTCTCTGCGAAATGGTGTGTGCAAACACTCCTGCTTGTAGGGAGCTTCATGAAAAAGGGAGAAGGGACATCTAGGAGCTAAGGCCAGCTTTAGATGGTCCTGTGTCTGCAGGTCTGGCTGAGATCATCCCAGAACTCTCTGGGAGGTGAGGCCATGCACGAGGACTTGTTTAGCACGAAGATGGAGGCCACTCGCTGGACAGAGGGCAGTGCCCAGCTGTGGGCTGGAGAGGGGAGCAGAATGTGAGGTGGATATTGTCCTGGGGCGTTGGTGAAAGAGAGTAAGGGGGCGAGGGGGAGGAACAGGACGGTTTTCACTGTTTGTCCTCGATTGTTGGTGTATGTGTGGGGTTAACTGCTGGGGGGGGTGCATGTACCCATCAGAGTGAGGGGCTGAGTGCCCAGTGAGCAGAGGGGTACTGAGTGTCTGGGCCCTCCTGTTGGCGACTGGGCGTGTGGCATGTGCCCAGGCGCAGCTCTGTGTCTGCAGTCACGACATCCTCCCAGCTACTTGTCTGGGCCATTTCCTCCCAGGCCGGCAGCCAGGCTCCCGTGTGCTCCTTGGAGCTGAGCAGGGAGGAAGGAGCTGCCAAGACCCCAAGGCCAGAGCTAGCCTTGAACTTACCCATTCCTGGCCAGCATAGGAAGAGCATATAAGGGGGTCCAGTGACTGCCTGGCTGCAGGAAGCAGGAGCACAAAGTCACAGCAAAAAGGCAGTGCCCTCCTAAGGGGGCTGGGGTCAAAGAGGAGCCACCTGGACAGCACCTCGGAGCCTCCCATCTGCACAAACTCAGTGCACTGCCTGCTTCTGTTCTGATGATGGTCCAGAAGGAAGGAGGAAATAGTAGAGGAGACGTCCCAGGCCACCTTTCTTTTCAAAGAAACTGTTGGCATGGGGGGCTGGTTGCTCATCCTACAGACCTTTATGGAGCGTATACCCTGTGCCTCCACCCACCTCAATAAATGCTTATGGAATTAATGTTGATTAATTGATACTCAGGCCTGATACTAGGCCTCAGTTTTCTTGTCTGTAAAACAGGGATAATGAGCCAGTAATCCTTTGCTATCAGTTTCTTGTGAGTCCGAGGCTGCCTATAGCAGTTCCTTTCCCTCTTTTCTCTAGATCATTTAAGAAAATAGCAAAATGCCAAGAGTCCAGAGGGCAGGTTGGTGGTCTCTGGCTGCCCCTGGGGACTCCCAGAAGGTAGGAAGGGAAATAGAGGCAGTGAAGGCTGGGAGGAGGCTATGGAAAGCAAGGGTATGGCAAATAGAAGAGCAGAGAAGCTGACATTTATTCTGTGGTCCTGACTCCAGACAACCCCCCCCCCCATATCTCTTCGTCCAGTTGGGCCAGGATCTAGAATCGGCAGGTGGGATGTGACGATGGCTGCTCTCTGTGTGGGAAGAGAAAGGAAGGTGAGGCCAGGGCTGGAAATGGATGGCAGGGCCAAGAGAGAGTAGGGGGCTGTGAGGTCCAGGTCTTGGTTTTCCTGACCTCTGACCCCAAGTGTGTAGGACATGGCCCTAACACTGCTGAGCTCAGAGGCTGGCAGGTCTATGCCCCTCGCCCCCAACTTCTGCCATATCTTACCACCTGCCCCAACCACTTTGTTCCCAGAAAGAGGAAGCTGGCACTGCCCAGCTGGACCCACCTGGCTGGGTCCTCAGTGCTGGTCCAGGATGAGGGGCACCTGGGCGCTATCCACACGGGGAGGCAGCCGCTCACCCGTGCGCACGTTGAACATAGGCAGGGTGGAGAGTGGCCGGGACACCTCGCGGTTGGCTGCCATGTGCCGCAGCTCCTCTGTGTTCCCACGGATGGTGTCATGGTGAACCATCTGGATGCTGGGGGCAGGCAGGGCCGTTGGAAACGTCAGTTCTCACAGCTTTTCACTGTGGCTAGGAGTCAGCTTCCCTGGGGCCCAGCCTGCTGCTGCCTCCGAGCCACCCTGCAGCCTTCCCCACCCATTATGGGTGTTGGGGGGACTTAAACACACCATGGCTGGGGATGGAAAAGCCAGAAGCTCTCTAATGCTCCCAATTGCCCTGTGATTGAGGCACAGGCTCTGGGGAGAAGGCCTGGATTCAGAGCTATGTGCCTTTGCTTAACCACTCTGTGCCTCAGCTTTCTCAACTGTAAAATGGGGATGATAACAATCCGCCTGGAAGGACTATTGTGGGGATTAAGTCAGAAAATGGAGGCTCAGGGCATAGAACAGTGCTTAGCATGTAGTAAGTTCTCATGAGATGATTAGAAGACATGAATTGATGATGTCCATGGTGGATACATGTCCCCAGACCTGTGTTTGCACTCTGTGTGTGATGTTCTGACAAACTTCTGGGTCCCCTTGAGCACTGAGCCCTCTTCTCCCATGCTTTCTACAACCACTAGCATCTTCCCTTCTATTCCTGCATTGGTCTAGCAACCCTACCTCCCCCTTCACCTTTCCCCTTCTTAGCCTTTTCCCAAGCTATTCCCCCATCCAGGAAGATCCTCTCCCATCTCCTGCCAGGCCTTGACCGTATCAGTTTTGGCTCTTCAGGGCTGTCTTCCACTCCCTTTGAATCCCCTCCCAGCCTCACCTCAGCCTGCCCCAGCGCTGGCCTTCCATCATGCTTAAGCCACAGTCTGGTCTCCCTGTCTTTTTTTCAGCCCAGGGCTCCCTGAGGGCTGGAACCAGCCTCCACAGGCTGGGAACCCCAGCAGCACAGTGAGGAGTGACTGCCACACCCAGCAGAAAGTACTCCCTGAAGTCTAGCTCCAGTTTCTCCTCAGAAGGCTTAACCCTATTCTCATGGGCATACTATCTGCTATCATTGAGCCAGCTCTAGTTCTTTCTGAGAGGCTGGATACAATGGTTAAGCATGAGGACTTGCTTTGGTTTGAATCTAGATTCCACTGCTTACTGGCTGTGTGACCTTGGGCAAATTACTTAACTTCTCTGAATCTCTGTTTCCTCAACTGTAATACAGTTCTTATATGAATTAAATAGTTAATATAGGAAAAGCACTTATAATATCTCCTGGTCAACATGCAGTAAGTGGTAGCTATTATTATAGGGAGTCTTTGGTTGTTATTATTATCACCAGTATTATTTAATTATAGCAAGCTCTCCCAGTGAAGTTGGCCTCCAGTGTAGGATGTTTTCAAGCCCCTTTATACAAATCCAAGGAGCTCTGGTGACATAGTGGGTAAGGTATTTGGATGCTAATCAGAAGGTTGGCAGTTCAAACCCACCACCTGCTCCACTGCGGAAGATGGGGGGCAATCTACTTCCGTAAAGATTTATAACCTTGGAACCCCAGTGGGGGATGCTATGGGTTGGAACTGACTTGATGGCAGTGGGTTTTACACAAATCCACCCACTTATGGGCACAGCCTGGAGACAGCTTTCTAGACTACAGGGTTGTCAGGTCAGACATAGTGAAGCAGGGACTTTTCATTAAAATCAAAAATAATTGGTTTTTTGGAGTGGTGATGGTGGCGGGGATACCCTAGGCAGACCTGAAGCAACCCACTTGCCCCTGGATTACTAATTAGATGGGGGAGGAAAAATAATCCCCACTCATGCCCAAGGCTTAATTAGTGGACACACACTCCAACAAGAGCCTGGGAGGTTAGACTATAAGAAGGACTTTCTAGCCTCATGCCAAATGGGCCACACTCCTCCTAGAGTGCAGGACTGAGACCTGCCTAGCCTGCAGGAGGAGGTGGAGTCACCATGGAAGTCTGCGGGAGGGTCAAGATGAGCTCTCGAGTCTGGAATTTAGCAAGCTGAGTTGTCCAAAACACAATTTTCCATTCTTGGCCAAAGGGAAACTGAGGGGGAAGGGGAGTGAGAAGTGGGTGGAGGCCAAGAGCCAGGCAGCCAGGCAGGTAATGCCCCCTGGTGGGGGAGGGGACTTCATTACAGCCCCTCCCAGCCCTCCAGCCTGCATCTGGGTGTCATTACTTGGGCAACTCATACAGATGGAAAAAGTTCCAGGATGTTTTTCTAGAGCAGAAACAGAAGCCAGAGCCATGGTGCCTCCCCCAACAATCCTTCCACATCAGCACTTGGGCAGACAAATGGGCAGGCCTTCATGTACACACACACACCACTGTGGCTGTGCCTGTGGGTGTGGCTACCAGACCAGCCAGGAGGCCCCAAGTCCCACTCCACCACCAACACATGGGCCCCTCACACCCTGCCACTGGCACCCAGACCCACAGTCAAGGGTCATGGGGCCTGAAGGATCTTGTGATGAGTGAAATCTGATATAAATGAAAAACAGGCAGCAGAATCATAACTTGTGGATAATCTGAAAAAACGGCAAACAACGAACAAGAGAAAAAAAATGGACTTTTGTAGAAATTAATCAACACAAAACCCAAATTGACAAGGGCTAGTATCATACATATATTACCAGTAAAACTGGTAATTGATTCAAAATTGGTGGAGGAAGCAAATTTTCCTGAGAATTCCCAGATCTACAAAACTGGCCCAGGAAAGCAGGACGTGGTGGAAATGCTGGTCACAAGAGAACATCTACAGTGCTGAAGATCAAATTTGGCACAGGCTAAAAAAAAAAAAAATTGAGGAACAAAATCCTCCTGGTAAAATTTACATGGAAAACTATTGCTCCCAAGGGGGCAAATCATTTTATAAAATAAAAATGAAAACAGAAAAGAAAAAGTAAAGCTTTTAAGCTGTTTTATACAGAAAGTTGATCAAGGAATTAAATTTGCTTAAATAGGCCAAGGAATTATCTATCTATTCACTCTGGAAAATATATTCTCAATAAAAATTCATAACCCATTGCTATCAAATTGATTCCAACTAAAGGTAACCCCGGGTGTGACAGAGCACAACTCTTCCACAGGGTTTTCTTGGCTGTAATCTTTACAGAAGCAGATCACCAGGCCTTTCTTCCCAGGTGCCGCTGGGCAGGTTGGAACTGCCAACCTTTAGGCTAGCAACCAAACCAACCAACCAAACACTGCCACTGAGTCAGATCTGACTCCTCCTTGGGTTTCCAAGGCGGTATCACTATGGAAGTAGATTGCCCAAACTTCCTTCTGAGGAGTGGCCGGTGGGTTTGAACTGCCAGCCTTCTGGTTAGCAGTCAAACGTCTTAGGCATTTGACTAAGACACCCAAGGACTTGAAAATTCATAAATGTTGATATAATTCTGATTTTTATAATATTTATACTCCTCAACTCAGAGACTCAAACACCCAGTGGGTCAAGATGGTGGAGTCAGAATGGCAGGTGTTTAAAACTGGGGGCTCACATCCTCAAGACTATGGCCCTTAATTACCCTTCAGCTCTGGAACTGAACTCACTCCTGTGGCTTCCAGCCAAACAACAGGTAGGCATATGGGGTGAACAGTTACATCAGGTCGATATACTCCTTGGAGCAATCAATCAATCAATCAGTCAGTCATAGAAGAGAAGGGCAGTGTTTGCACACAGGAAAACAGCTCAGGGGAACGGACTGCGTGGGAGGGAAGAACACAGGAAAGTGGTAACTACAGGGAGGAAGTGGGAAATTGCAGTCTGTGTAGAAGTTCTGGTGGGGTAGTGCATAAGGCATTTGACTGCTAACCAGAAGGTTGGTGGTTCAAACACACCAGCCACTCCTTAACTTCCATAGAGATACTGCCTTGGAAACCCAAGGCAGGCAACTATGAGTTGGAACCAACTCAACAGCAGTGAGGTTTTTTTTTTTGTTTTTTTTTTCCAGTCATGAAACACAATGTGCATCAACTGCTATATGGAAAACGAATTTGTTCTGTAAACTTCTACCCAAATCACAGTAAAAAATAAATAAATAAGTAAAAATAAAACTAGGAGCTCAGAACCCCCTGAGATCAGTTCCCACACATGCATATACATGCATTCACACGTGTACACAGCTTACATGGGCCCGTGGGTCTGGGCCCAGCCACCCTTCTCCCCAGGCTAGGTGTCTGCTCAATCTGGCATCTCCTACTTGCCCCTCCTAGGTGGGAACAGTGGACTACTGTGACCCCCACAGGATTCTGATGACCTCACAATATCCCCACTGAGGTCACCACAGAGGTAACCTTACTGCCCCCTTCATCCTCAGCACAAGTCTGCAGAGGTCAGCCGTGGGTGATCATCTTTGCTCCTCTCTCTAGGCACCCAAGAAGGCACAGGCCGGAGCCCTACAAAGAGGCCTCTGAGGGAACCAGGAACCGGGACACCTCACCCACCCACCAAGGAGCAACCCAGTAGACTTCCGGCTGCCATCCTGGAGGTCCTTGCACCCAGCTCCCATCACCTACCCCAGGGAGAGGTGCAGAGAGACAACTCACTGCTGCCCTCAGCTGTGCCCTTGGCCTCCACCGCTGCCCTCAGAGAAAGCCCGCTGGCCAGCCTGTCTGATATCCCTATCAAGAGTGAAACTGGGAGCTGCGCCTTTCCCAAAGCCCACCAAAGGCCCAGAGTATCCCAGCTTATCCTAGAGGCTATCACCAACAAGGGGACGTCACCGCATGTCCCTGGCCGCTTTGAAGAAGGCTGTCACCACCACGGGCTACAATATGGCCCGCAATGCCTGGCACTTTAAGCAGGTACTCAAGGGGCTTGTGGACAAGGGCATGCTCAAGCAGGTGACTGGCAAGGGGGCCTCCGGCTCCTTCTGCCTGGCCAAGAAGCCGGCCTCCAAGTCCAAGCTCAAGGTCAAGAGACAACAGAAGCAAAGGCAGCCTGGGCAGCACCGACAGGGGCAGCGCCGGTCACTACTGGGCTCCCGACGGGGGCAGAAGCGTGTCCAAAGAGTGGCTAAAAGCCACCGCCGCCGCAATTAACAAGTCAGGCGAGGCAAGTGGCAAGGGGTGCCAGGCCCACCACAGGCTCAGTGCAGTTCAAATAAAATGAGCCTAAATTACTTCATACCCGCCTCCTAGAATCTTTGGGGCCCAAAGCAGTGGGAAAGGAAGAAGAGTGGGGCACAGAGGAAGGGTAAGGCCACAGATGGAGGAAACCTCAGGCAAATTATGGGTGAGATGGATTGGGGAAGGGCTCGAAAAACGGGGAGCACCCACAGAGTCAGCAGTCCCATCAGCTCATCTTGCAGGTGAAGAAACTGAGGCCCGGAAAGGAGGTGTGTTTGGCAGAAGTCACAAAGTAATTATGTGACATAGCATGGCTGGACTCATACTGAGTGGGATGTGTGTGTGTGTATGTGTGTGTTTGCTGGGATCCTCTTAAGTCCTCAAACTCTTTTCTTCAAGTTGGCAATAGATCCCACAAAGCCTGGCCAGAGCCCCTGCCCTTTCCCACATCAGACTCTTCCATTGATTGTAGAAAATAAGGCAAAGCCATGATGGGTCAGAGCCAGCATCCAGCCAGTCTACCCTGGGGCTCAGAGGTCAAGGGTGACCCTAGAATCCTAGAGTAATCTGATTTGTCTATGCTTTTCAGGGAGCTGGAAGCTCCAGTCAGCAGTCTCAGGGACTCTCACCCAGCCCCCAGCTCTCCCCTACTCACTCAGAGGTGGCCAGGTCTCTCTTCAATCTGTGGAAAAGCGAAGGGAGACGGTTAGCCAGCTCTGGGCTTTGTCCCTCTGTGCCCCAGGGGCTCAGGTGTAAGTGAAGGGGCTCATTTGCATACTGGTGTCTCTCTGGTCCAGAGAGCCAGGCAGGACTCTGAGCCCTCCTCTTCTGGTTGAAGCCCCCACTCCCTGAGGGGTGTAGGTCCCCACACAGCACATGGGCTATAGGGGTCCATGGGGTGAATGCCAGCCTCGGGCCCTCCCTGTCCTCCTCTCCTGTGCTCACCGTCCCTCCCGTCGGCAGCACATGACATAGGCCAGCAGCAGGGTGAACAACAGGGCCACCAGCAGAGGCACCAGGAGGGTGACCAGTGCGTCAGTCAGGAAGTCCCGGGCGGTGGCCTCAGTGGGTGGGCAGAAGAACGGGTCATGCTCCAGGATCCCGTCGCCTGGGGTGGGCATCTCATCCACGGGCTGTGGCACTGACTTGTCCACCTACTCAGGGAACCCAGGGCTGACCAGGAGCAGCTAGCAGGACCCGGAGGAACCCCAGGAAACAGGGTCCCTCCTGCCTGCCCCCCCCCAGCCCATGTGACTTCACAGGACAAGCACTGGACTAGCCAGTGGGAGAGACAAGTTCTAAGAGAGGTAGGACTGTATAATGGTCAGAGCTCTGGTAGACTGCCTGGGTTCAAATCCTGATTCGGACGAATGTGTAACTGGGTCTGTCACCTCTAGGTACCTCAAGTACCTCATCTGTAAACTCAAGGTGGCAATAGTGGCATTTATCTCCCAGGGTGGCTGTGAGGATAGCACCTGTTGAATTTCCCATGCCTAGCATATAGCAGTTGCTCAGGAATGTTGCCTGTTACCATCCCTGTCTGTGTGACCCGAACAAGCCCCTCCCCGTAAGTCAATTCATAGGAATAGGGTTCCCCAGTTCCCAGCTGGGAGTCAGGCTCTCCCTCCATGCCCTAGATTATTGTTGTTGTTATGTGCCATTGAGTAGAATAGAACCCTGCTGTAATCTTTACAGAAGCAGGTTGCCAGGTCTTTCTGCCACAGAGACATTGGGTGGGTAGGTGGATTTGAACTGCCAACCTTTTGGATAGCAGCCATTGTGCCAGCAGGGCTCCTTTAGGCTCTAGATATCTTGGCTCAAATTCCCAAACAGCAATGGCAACTGTCTTTGGTTCATACAGTTCAGGGGTGAGAGTTATTTGCTCCTTAACCCTGGTGATGCAGTGGTTAAGCACTTGGCTCCTATCTGAAAGGTCAGTAGTTCAAATCCACCAGCTGCTCCCAGGGAAAAAGATGTGACAGTTTGCCTCTGTAAAGATTTACAGCTTCAGAAAATCTATGTCCTATAGGGTCACTATTCTGAGTCAACTGCAATGAGTTTTGTTTCTTATCATAGAAGAGTTTGCCTGGTGACCTTCAAGGGACACAGACCAAAGACCAAGCTATCACATAGAGGCCTTTGGTGGGGAAAGGTCTGTGAAGCCCTGTGGGGGGTTATTGATTGCTCTAGCCTTTGATCTGGGCAGGCCTGGGATTCCTGAACTAGAGATGGAGGTAGGGTATGGATTGTGGACTGTGTCGCCCTCTTCTGAGAGGAGGTAGAACTTCAAGGGGTGTGTGTGTGTGTATGTGTGTGTATGTGTCCAAAGCTAGATCACAGACTGGTAATGAGAGAAAGAGGGAAGCACAGAGACACTGGGGTAGGAAGGAAGGGGAGGGAGAGGACTGTGTTGGGGACCATGCTCCAACCCACCCCTGGAGCCAGGGTCCCTCCTCACCAGGGTCACGTTACACCAGGCAACACGGAAGTGGGGTGCCAAGGTGTCATAGCAGGACAGAAGTGGAGGCTGGCCCTGGGCACAGCGGGCGTGGCTGTCAGGGAATGCCACCATCTTCAGGCAGGTTGAGAAGGGCGAAGCAGAGCCCACCTTGATATACACCCTGAGCCCAGACAGAAGCCACTGTTAGTGAATTGGGGGAAGAGGTGGCCCAGCCCTGGAGATGTGGGGGTCACAGGGCTCACCCTGGGATTGGGGTCATGGTCAGAGTGCACAGGGCACCCCATACTTCTGAGGAGACTTGACCCTCCAGGACTGTCCCTTAGATGGGTAGATTTTCTATGTCCTCGTGGGCACCAGGAAGAGCAGAGCACAGAGTGATTAGGGTTTGGCTAAGGCGGGCAAGAGGGAGATGAAGGGTGGCTGGAGGGGAGTGGACAGTGGTATGAAGCTGAGAATCACAGAAGGGTGTGGTGAGAATGCTCAAAGGTGGGTAAGCCCCACCTGGTATAGCAGTTAAGCACTTGGCTGCTAACCCAAAGGTCAGTGGTTTGAACCCACTAGCAGCTTTGTGGAAGAAAGATGTGGCAGTCTGCTCCCAGAAAGATTTATAGCCTTGGAAACTCTGTGGGGCAGTTCTACTCTGCCCTAAAGTGTCATTATGAGTCAGAATTGACTCAATGGCAGAGGGTATGGTTTTGGTCTGATAATTAGGAAGACCCCTCTTCTAAGCCCACAACCCAGGAGGCAGGCAAGCTGTCTCCTCCCGCTGCAGGAAGCCCTCCTGCATTGCACACCCACCCTTCCTTGCGGCCCTCGATGGGAAGGGGGACACGGCCTCCACGGTCCAAGGCAGAGGTGATGTTGATCAGCTGAAGCTCCCCTGGCTCCCAGAGCCCGCCCAAGGCTGTGAGGAAGCGGCTGGCAGGTGTGGACGGCAACACTTCCTCCACATCGTGGCTCTGCACTAAGAACTCAGCCTGGTATGGCAACAGGGGACCTAGGAGGGCCAGGCAGAAACCTCAGGCTGCACTCAGATCCCAGCTTTGTCCCCCAGCCCCACTCCAAGCTCCTCCCTGCCTCCCCTCACACCCCTTCCTCCCTCCCCTTTCCCCTTCCCAACACCCCACACATCACACGCCCTAACACAGCAACCTCCACCACTTGCCCAAGTCCATCAGCAGAGAAGCCAATAACAGATGCCACAGTCTGGACTCTCACCCAGGGCTCTTCACTTAAAAGCCTTTTAAATGCCACTTCCTTCCCTCAGAGTCCTCACTTCCCAGGGTGCCCTGCTCCCCACTATTCTCTAAGCCTCTCTTTTCCACAATGCCCTTCAACCACCTCCTTCAGGAGATCCCCATTGGTGGAGTAGAAGTGGGATAGGGCCAGTGGTACCTTCTGGGTCCCCAATCAGCAGCACCAGTCTCTGCCGGGTGGTCTCAAAGCTGTCTCGATTGTAGGCAATGACCTGAGGGTTCGGGGAAGAAGGAGGTAGGGTTGAAAATGAAGGTGTAATAGCTGGGGCCTGACAGGAGAATGCAGGGGATACCACTACAAATCAGAGCTCTGTAAATTCGATGTGGAGTTCCTGGGTGGTGCAAATGGATCGAGTTAACGTTCTTGGCTGCTAACTGAAGAGTTAGGGGTTCGAGTCTACTCAGAGGCACTCGTAGGAAAGGCCTCGCGATTTACCTCCAAAGAAATCTACCATCGGATACCCTATGACACACATGGGTCGTCGTGAGTGGGGATCAACTTGGTAGCAACTGGAAAAAGATATTTAAATGAATGTGAATAAACATGCAGTCCTCAGAGGCTACAGAGAACCACCCTGTGGTTTTCTGAGAGTGTGGACACAGCCCACTGGGATCCCTGCTGGTACCTCAATGACTTGGCGGCCACGATCTTCAGGGGTGGCGGTTCCATAGAGGAAGCCAGGGTGGTGAGGGCTACGCTGGGTATAGCGGAGCCACCGGGGCAGGTCTGGATGTCCCTGGAGGTGGGCATGATAGGTGATGGGGACGGACAGTGGGACAGCTGGTAGAAAACAAGATGGAAGGTTGGAGGTGGAACCTGAGCCCTCACCAGCCCCAGGCAGGCCCAGCCCACCTTTGGGTGCCCACACAGGCTCACTCACCCACAGGCTCTGGGAGATTCAGGAAGGTGGCATGGTGCAAGGTATGCACAAAGACGCGACCCACGAGTGGGTGGAGGGTGGTCACCTGGTCCTCAGTGTCTGCCAGCCCTGCCAGGAGACCTGTGGGGACCCCAGAAACCACCCACCACACACATAGACCAGCCTCAGTCTTGGGTCAGGGGATAAGTTTCTCTTCTCCACTGGGCTCTAGCTTGGTGGGTGGGGCAGGGGGTGGATTATTGACTATGATCAGTGACAAGACCACTTCTGGGACTGGCTCTTTCATTAGGATGCATGGGAGGGGCCCCCAATTTCCTATATTCATTTTAGGTCCTTGTTAGAGTCACAGTAGGCCAAGTCTGATGTTTGGATGGAGGAATGTTTATGCTTGTGTGTTTGTGGACAAGAACCCCACCCTGAGGTGGGGAGACGGGGGGGGAGAGAGGGAAGAAGACACCTTGAAGGAGGAGGGGGGCATTCTGGACCCAGCACCCCCACCTTCCTCCCCCAGTGTACAGGCAGGAGCAGGGCCTGGCCAATGGAGCTGAGCACAGGGGCCGGGCATTTGTGTTAGAGAAGGACCCTTGGTCCCTTCTCCAAGTAACCACCCCCCACCTTCTGCCCAGGGCCAAATATAGCCTGGGCCTGGATAGAAGTGGCTGCGGCCCAGCCAGCCCATTAAAGGGCCCAGCACCCTCCGTCCTAGGACACCCCCCCGCCTCAGAGCTCTCAATCCCTACATCCCAGAGCCAGCTGGAGAGAGCCTCCCTGGACCCCCAGGAGCAGATGCGTGGAAAGCTAAAGCCCCTCCAACCTCTGCCTCACCCATGCCAGCTCCCTCCCAGAAGGACCCTCCAAACTTCAATCTCACCACCCCTATATCCCACCCCTCACCCCAGCCTCTCCCTGAAGAGGCCCCAACTTGCCCACAAGGAGAGGAGTCCAGACCAGCACTGCTGCCATGGCGGCCCCAGCCTGGCCGGTCCCTGTGAGTGACAGGGACAAGAGCAGGGAAGGAGGAGGGAGTGTGGGAGGGGAGGGGGAGGTGTGCAGAGCAGCTGGGTCCCTCCCCATCCCCATGCAGAGCAGGCATTGAATCTGGAGTGGGCACCGTCCTCACGGAACAATGTCCCTCCTGTCGTCTTCCGCCCAGTGCCCAGAGCCTATTTTCTAAAATGCCAACCTGATGACATCAGTCCCCCCTTAAAGTATTAATGGCTGCCACTGCCCTTGAGTTCACAGCTGCTGATGGCTACTGTGATAGATTGAATTGGGTCCCCCAAAATGTTTTGTAAATCCTAAGCCTGTGGGTGAGGAGCTCTGGTGGCACGGTGTCTGAGGCATTTGACTGCTAACCAGAAGGTTGGCAGTTCAAATCCACCAGCCACTCCATGGAAGGAAGACTAGGCAGTCTATTTTCATAAACATTTACCACTTCAAAAACCCAGTGGGGGTCACTATGAGTCAGAATTGACTTGATGGCAGTGGGTTTGTTTGTATACACACACACACATATACCTGTGGGTATGCATGTGAAAGCTGGACAATGAATAAGGAAGACCGAAGAAGAGGTGATGCTTTTGAATTGTGGTATTGGTAAAGAATACTGAAAACACCACAGACTGCCAGAAAAACAAACAAATCTGTGCTGGAAGAGATGCAGCTGGAATGCTTCTTGGATGTGAGAATGGCCAGACTTTGCCTCTTATGCTTTGGTCATGTTATCAGGAGCGACCATTCCCTGCAGAAGGATATCATGTTTGGTAAAGTGGAGGGTCAGTGAAAAAGGGGAAGACCCTTAACAAGATGGATTGACACCGTAGCTGCAACGATGGGCTCAGGTATGGCAAGGACTGTGAGACTGGCGCAGGGCCCGGCAGTGTTTCGTTCTATTGTACATAGGGTCGCCATGAGTCGGAGCTGACTTGAGGGCACCTAAAACATCACACTTGTGGTTATTATCCCATCTTTAGGCTAATGAGGCAGTACTAGTGTAGGGTGTGTCTTCAATCAACCTCTAAGAGCAGACTAAGCAATCGAGCAAGCAAGCAGAAATGCGGGAAGACAGAGGTCATGCCACATGATGGTCACCAAAGAGCCAAGGCGCAGAAGCTGAAAAGAGCTGACGGAGAGAGAGCTTTCCCCTACAGCTGGCACCCTGGATTCAGACTTCTAGCCTGCTAAATTGTGAGAAAATAAATTTCTATTTGTTAAAGTCACCCACTTCTGTTAGAGCAGCACTGGATGACTAGGACAGCTACCAAGGCCCTTCCTGTAGCTGGCCATCCCTTCTAGAATCCTCTCTTCCACACTCTCCCCACCTCCCTGACCCGGGCTGCTGCCCAGCTGCCCTCTGCTGCTTAGTCTGATGTATTCTCTCCAGTCTACAGGCCTTTGAACAACTTCCCTCTGCCTGGAGGTCCCTTCCTGCCCTCATTCCACCAGCAAACTTCCACTCGCCTTTCAAGACTCTGCACAGGTATCCCTCCTCTGTGAAGCCTTTCTGACCTCCCCCTCCACCTCACCCCCCATGGAGCTGGGTGCCTCTTTAGCTCCTATGCATATTCCTATTCCAATCCCTCTGAGCATTTTGGAGACTAAACCAAAACCACAAACTGGCCATTTACTAGATTCCAACTCAAGGTGACTCCATGTTTCAGAGTAAAACTGCTCTCCACAGGATTTTCAGCGGCTGTGATCTTTCAGAAGTGGATCACCAGGCCTTTCTTTGGAGGCACTTGTGGGTGCATTGGAACCACCAACCTTTCAGTTAGTAGCCAAATGCTTAACTGTTTGCACCCCCCAGGAACCCCCCTTGGAGACTGTTGCCGTTGTTAGGTGCCGTTGAGGCAGCTCCAACACATAGCAACCCTATGCCAACAGAGCAAAGCACTGCCTGGTCCTGCACCAAATTCACAACTGTTGCTATGCTTGAGCCCATTGTCACAGCCAAGGCCAATCCATCTCATTCAGGGCCCTCCCCTTTTTTGCTGACCCTCCACTTTACCAAGCATGATACCCTTCTCCAGGGAATGGTCCCTGCTGATAACGTAACCAAAGTACGGGAGGCAAAGTCTCGCCATCCTTGCTTCTAAGAAGCATTCTGACTGTACTTCTTCCAAGGCAGATCTGTTCATTCTTCTGGCAGTTCCTGGCATATTCACTATTCTTCACCAGCACCACAATTCAAATGCATCAATTTCTCTTCAGTCTTCCTTATTCATTGTCCAGCTTTCACATGTATATGAAGCTATTGAAAATGCCTTGGTGTGGGTCAGAAACACCTTAGTCTTCAAAGTGACATCTTTGTTCTTTAACACTTTTGCAGCACACTGCCCAGTGCAATATACCATTTGATTTCTTGACTCCTGCTTCCATGGGCATTAATTGTGGATCCAAGTGAAATGAAATCCCTACCAACATCAATCTCTTCTCCATTTATCGTGATGTTGTTTATTGGTTCAGTTGTAAGGATTTTCATTTTCTGTATGTTGAGGTGCATTCCATAGTGAAGGCTGCAGTCTTTGATCTTCATCAGTAAATGCTTCAAGTTATCTTCACTTTCAGCAAGCAAGGTTGTGTCATACATATCACAGATTGTCAGCGAGTCTTCCTCCAATCCTGACGCCACGTTCTTCTTCATATGGTCCAGTTTCTTGGATTATTTGCTCAGCATACAGATTGAATAACTATAGTGAAAGGATGCAACCCTGACACACATCTTTCCTGATTTTAAACCATGCAGTATCCCCTTGTTCTTTTCGAACTATTGCCTCTTTTTCTTTGTGTAGGTTCCTCATGAGAACAATTGATGGAATAGAATTTCCATTCTTTGCAACGTTATCCATAATTTGTTGTGATCCACACAGTCATCTGTTTGTCATATTGTAGTGGCTTATGTGTTGCTGTGATGCTGGAAGCTATGCCACAGTATTTCGAACACCAGCAGGGTCACTCGTGGTGGACAGGTTTCAGCAAAGCTTCCAGACTAAGACAGACTGAGAAGAAGGACAGCGTCACCCACTTCTGCAGAAACTGGGCCACTGAAAACCTTGGAGACTAGGGTCTTGTTATCTTTGTATCCCTGGACCTGGTGCAAGGCCTCGCACATAGTAGGTGTAGGAGGCTAGAAGACAGCTTCTTTAGCAGCTTACAAAGGTACCCATTCATCCAGCCCTAATCCCCAGACCAAGCATCCACAGCGGGTACCCAGGGACAGGACCAGCCAGGTGGAGACAGGTGAATGGAGGAGGTATTCTCTTTGGCTCAGAGACACAGGCAGGAGTGGCTAAGCGCACAGGCTTGGAGGCCGGCAAACCTGGCTGAGTCCCACCTGGACCACTCATAGGCGGTATCATTGGAGCCAGTCGCTCAACCTCTCTCAGCCTTTTTTTCCACAGCTGCAAACGGGTGAGAACAATGCTCCCTTCCCAGAGTCATTGTGAGCAATCAACAAAGCAATGAATTCAGCACATATTTACTGATCACCTACTATGTGCCAGGTGCTGAGAGTACAGCCAGGAGCCAACCCTTGCCCAGGCAGAGCCTGCCTACTGGTGGGAATGACAGCTGGCCCTTGTCGGCTACTGTGCTGAAACTTTAACATACAGTTACATATATTAACTCATTCATCCCCACAGCAGTTCCACGAAGAAAATATTATCATTATTATCATCCCATTTTACAGATGAGAAAACTAAAGCACTGAGGGGTGTATAACTCACCCAAAGTCACACAGCTAATGCATGTAAAGCACTTTTTATGAAAAAGGCTCAAGAGATGACAGGTGTTGATATACTTGCTGACTGGGCACCACTTCCCCTTCCTTCCTGCATCTTGGTCCTGGAGTGAAGAGGGGAGGGCCCTTCTTTCCCAGGACCTCCCACTCAGAGAAGGCAAAGGGATGGAGGCAGGGACTGGCCCATGGATGCCAGGGTCCACACTTCTTGGTGACCGTGTGAGCATCCCTCAAGGGGTGCAAGATGAAGGGTGCTGCCCACCTCAAGCCCGAGCAAACAGCCAGGGTAAGGCTGTCTGGGACCTGATGTAAAAATGATGTGGTCGAGGCATCTGACCTCCTCTAATTTCACAATGGGGAGAGGGATTCAAGATCAGCAGCCCAATATGGCCCCTAGGTACCTTTCAGGTCTGGAATTGAACTCCCATGGCTTCCAGCCAAATAATAGACAGACATATGTTGTTGTTGTTGTTGTTATGTGCCGTGGAGTCAGACCCGACTCATAGTGACCCCTCCTTGGGTTTCTGAGGCGATATCTATGGAAGTAGATTGCCCAACCTTCCTTCCGAGGAGTGCCTGGTGGGTTTGAACCGCCAGCCCTCTGGTTAGCAGTCAAATGCCTTAGGCACTACGCTACCAAAGCTCCTAGACAGACAGACATATAGGGTGAATATTTACATCAGGTAGATACACTCCTTAGAACAATCAATCATGGGAGACCAGAAGGGCAGTATTTCCACAGGGAGATAGCTCAGGGGGCAGGAATGCATAGGAAAGAAGGACATTGGGAAAAAGTAACCATAGGGAGAAAGTAAGAAGAGAGCTGTTACACTGTAGGGAATTGCGGTCAATGTCATGAAACAAAATGTATATGGATTGCAGTGTGGAAAAGGAATTTGCTCTATACAATTTTACCCAAATCACAATAAAAATTTAAAAAATAAAAGATCAACAGCCCAAGGCTGATTCCTATGAGACAGAGATCAGACATATGTCCTCTCTCCAACCTTTTTACCACTTCTGACACCAACTCTCCCTCCCACAGCACTCTCTACCTCTCTGCTGGGTTCAATACTTCAGTGCAATGGCCAGACAGGACTCAGAGACCATACTCACAGTTACGGAGTTTGTTAGGGAAGTAATGGGTTACAATTCAGAATCAGGAACAACTCAAGATAGAGTTCTTTGATCAGGACAGCCTCTTCACAGCTGTGTCTGTAGGCAGGCCTGGGGGGGCGGGGGGCTTGTGCCAGCC